ATCTGGTGAGTAATTCTCCCTTTTAACCGCGATGAATTCCCTTGTAAATTAGTTGAGAGTATTGAATGCAACATCCAAGATGAGACACTTACATTTAAAACTCTATCTATTGCATAATCTGGTTAATAACGAACTGAATAACGAACTGAATAACGAACTGAATTTGATCGGAAAAGTTAGAGTTTGTATGTCCATTAGTTCTAAGAGCTAATACCTTCACTTGTTTACTTACATTGAGTCGTTCCCACTTTGAGGTTGCTCAGAGGCTGAACGTAATTTGATGGAAACATGCCCGTCTGTCCGTTCATTTCTCCTTTCCACCATTCTCCATCCTTACTTACTACATTGATAACGCTTCCTTTGTAGAAGGTGAGCTCGTCAGAGTTCTGTGCCGTGTAAGGGAACATGGCCAATACCTGCTCTAGTTTAACTGTGGAAATTAAAACAAATAAATAAGAGGACGCAAGTGGAAAGGGTGAGAATGTTCCCAGTTCGCAGTCAGTAGAGACGAGCGAATGGGCGGGCGGGCGAGCGACAAACAGCGGTTATGGTTGTCGAGGAAATGACTTTTGACTTTTTTTTTTTATTCCCTAACCACCCCTGTTTTTTGCAGCCCCGCGTTTTCGCTCATCTCTACTAACCAAGGGCCTTTCACAGGCTCTCCCTGAAAGGCTAAGCTGAGGGAGAAATCTCTGTCAAACCTACAGAAGATCTTACACCACACGAATGGTGAAAATCTGTTACCAAAGCCCTACGTAACTTTAATTCAAGTCACTTCAAGCATCAAAGATAAACGTTAAACAGAAAAGAGAATAAAGCCACGAAATAAGGTGCTCAGGCAAACAAAATATCCAAGAGGTAAAGAATATATCAAAAAGGAACATGGGCGACGCTGTACAAATCACGAGAAAGATGCTTGAAAGAGACGAGGTCAACTCAATTACACCTTAGACTAAACATACAAATCCAAGCATTTATAACAAGTAACCCTTTTAGAAACTCACCTCTTGCCACAGGAGGAACGCTATAAACCTGAAAATCGACAGTAAAATAACACCAAATTACCTTCTTGCACGAATTTTTTTTTAAAAAAGCGACGAAAAACTGAATTATACTCGTGCCGTGATGTGAATGGAAAAGGAAACTCAGCATCATTAAAAAAAATTGAGTTTCAAAGTATCTCACTGATGCTACCAATGAAATTAAAGCAAAGCGAACAAGAGTTACTCGGTGACACTTACGCTTTCTGTGACTGGAGAGCTTGCTGCTGGCGAAGTCTTTCTATCCAAAATTTTCACATGACTCGCCGGGAACATGCCGCTTTGACGTTTCTTACCACGAGCCTACAGAGACAAACAAACGAAAGCACAAAAAAGGACATCTAAGGACACTTAGTTGTCTGGAAGAAATCCGTAAAAATAGAGAAAAAGGTCTTAAAGAGGATCGTAGAATACAGACCGGACTGTGGAGACGAGTAAGAGTATCGCCCTCTACTATCTTGTGGACAGGATCCTAGTCTACCGCCCGATTAAACCCCCCCCCTCCCCCCAGTATTTCGAGTGGCTTGCCTAACAGTTGGCCAGTAGCCATTAATACTCCAAGGTGAAGAAAGAAACTATGAGTCAAGAAGTTGCCCAAGAACACAACACAATGACTTCCCTGGGACTTGGACTTGAAGTTTCAGATTTGAAATAGAGCGCAATGATCATTGAGCCACCGCGCAACATAAAATGAACAACAAATAGAAGGGCACAAAGAGTAAATATAATTCTTGTACCTGTAATTCGCCTTCCCACCAGCCATCAGGATGTTTCTTCTTGACCAAGATTAACTGGCCGGGTGAGAGAGACAACTGTTCAGCTGAAAATGCGTTGTAAGCCGAAATCACAGTAGCAATTTCTGAAATTTCAAAACATCTCAAGGTTAATTTTCAAATCACACAAAGGCGATTTTTTAATCGAGTACAGAAACAGACCGGAATAGGCCATTTTCCGAATTACCTTTGGCCTCTTTTTCAAAACGAGGCCTGATGCTCAACTATTCTAGTGAAAATGAGTTTAATTTTCATGTGAATTAAAAATTCTTCTCAGATGAAAGGATGAGCACCAGGACTCGCCTTGAAAAAGAGGCTAAAGGTAATATTGTACTTTACTTCGCTATGTGATTGGTCGAGAAAAAGTGCGCCACCTTCCTAACCAATCAGATGTCAAAATCAAAACCAATCACGACTAGGTCACACACTTTTCCCGCCCTTCAGGAGGTTTGCTTTTCTTACTCAGTTCTTTGAGTTCTCATTGGCTCCATGTGATATTTTCCTTTCCTTTTATTGGTCCCTGTAATTAATCTGCTGTGGGTTTACCGACAATTAATGAAAAAGGGCTCAAACATTCAAAAGTAAAAATTACTTAATTTTTTTTTAACCTTTGTTTTTGCTTTTTAGTGAGTTCTTACCTGGCTTCATGCGAGGAGCTGCTTTTGGTCCCTAGAAATACAACAAAATCTATCAAACAATTACCCGCACATAGAAATAAGCAATGTTTTCGGCACACCAATAAATAAATGGTATGAAATGGCTAAAACTCCGAGATTTGTTTTCTCACCAACGAGGACTGAAATCTTTTCTACATTTTTTCCCCGGGAAATTTCAGGTGTTAGACCCGACGTTGCCTGTTCAACGCAGTCAGATGTCAGTGACGAGTTAAAAAGCGGGACGAGCGAGAGATAAGGCGAGGGGAAATAAGGCGAGGGAACGAAGAAAGGAAAGACTTCTCTCTTCCTCGTCACTCCTTCCCAGACCCCGCTTATTTTCTCCCACCCGTTCATTCGTGCTTCTCCGTCTGACTAACTCGACATCATGTTCAAACTCGACCGAGTCTACCGAGCCGACTCCCGTCCAAACATGTTCAACGCAAGTTCTCACATGTACCTCCGTCTCCCTTTTCTTGACATAGTTAGCAGGAAACAACCCTTGTTCCCCTTGGCAGTTTCCTTTCCACCACTCGCCTTCATCTTCATAAACCTTGATAACATCACCTTCAGAGAAGCTCAGGTCACCAGCTTCACCTGTGTAATTATACAGCGCTACACACTCTGAAATAAACAAAAGCAATTCTGTAAGTTAGACCTTTTCCTTGCTACCGTGTGAGAGATAGATACAAGTGTAACATCATTTTATCCAAAAAAATGATTTTTTCCTGTCGACCCATATATAAAACCTATAGAAAACCATTCAGAAGGTCCAAAAAAATATTGCGTGACAACTGGAAACAAAGGACCACAAATTTGAGCTTAATATGATTTGCCATTTGACAAGATCAATGTACATCTATTTGGATTCCTTTTCTGGTCTTATCTGGCCACATAAAATGTGTCCTGCATACTACGGAACGCGCACAAGGAACTGACGTAACAGAATCTACTGCACACCAATCTGCATCTTAGCCCAAACTTTCTCCAGTGCCCTTATTTTCGAGTCGATTCAACTGATCATTTTGCCTAGTTTCCCTAAGTTGTTCCGATCGATTGAACATCATCGAGGGCGATTCGAAAAATCAAACGAAGACCAAGTTTGGATGAATCTTTCGTTACTTACCAAACAGAGTTGTTGGTGAACTTGGTTCAGGAGAAGGGTTCGATTCTAGAGTCTTACTCGGCTGTTCTTTCGGTGCCCCGTTTATCCTTTCGAAAACAAAACAAAACAGAGCAAAACAGAGGAATCAGTAAGAGCCTTTACACTGATAGATTATACTTATAGGGTTAACTCAAAGAGCAGGACCATAAGAGCGGGTCGATAAAGGTGACAAATTGAGGCTAATAAGAGGCTTGACGATTGCCTCCTGAATACTGCCTTCAGCGCCACTAGCGATACCAGCCGAGCTGAAGCGCCACAAGTTACGAGGTTTCAGTTTCACTACTTACTCGCCAGGTTTTGTGGCTCCACTAACTCCTCCGAGAAGCTTGACATAAGACTTAGGAAACCATCCAACACTGCCGTTGAGTTCTCCAAACCACCACATATCTTGCTGCTCCTTGACGATAATCACGTCGTTCTTATTGAACGTAAGATGGTCTTCTTTCTTCGCTCTGTAAGGATACAACGCCATCACTCTGAAGCCTTCAGCAGACTGTTGAGTGGTAGCAGTCTTTGGGGTCTGCAAGAAAATTTGTATTAGTAGGTAATTGGAGAGAGGCAATATGTATTTTGAAAGGATTCATTAGATATGACTTTCTATGTAGTAACCCTTCATAAATTTCTACATCAACACTTTCGTCTCCGAATAATGCATGAGCAGATGGCTGAACACGTTCTGTAAAAATCCAGCTAGTACGCCAGAAATTGGCCAAACTAATTTAACCAATGTTCAATTATGATACTCAACGTTTTACATTTTGCTTCAAGTTTTCCTTTTATAACCTTTAAACTCCCGTAAGTGACCAAGACAGACTTTCTCCTTACAACAGCAATACAAAATCAAGCAGACAAGTGATGAGATTAAAAATATATCAATTTAGGGATTATGGGTTACTTACATCATAAGAAATGTATGGTAATAGTAAGAAAAATTACTAAAGAGATCTTGGGAGCAAGACGGTTAAAACTTTTTTCACACCAGCTTGATTTTTTATTTAGTTCGTTCCACAGTACGACGATGAAGAAGATAAAGGAAAATAAAACCCAAACCACAATCAGAACATTTACAGCTGAACCATGTCAAGTATTCATTTCGTATTCTCTCACCTCTGCGACAACATTTGTGTTTGTTACAGAAGAGTTCTGGTTCATAACTGCTGGACTGATTGTGCCCCCTGTGGCAAATTGCATACTGAGAGCTGCTGCAAGAGACTTTACAGTAGAAGAGCTCTCTGGAGGCGAAACACTGACGGTTTCTTTCTGAGATTTCGCCGTTGATTTTGCTTCTTCCTCTGTAATTTTTTCAGCATAATTTTCTGGGAACAAGCCTTTCTTGCCATTTGACTCACCCAGAAGCCAACCAGGCGGAGCCTTACTTTCACTGGGATCAATCTGGGAAAAGAAAAGGTACCTTACATCAATGTACTACCTTAGGCGAACAACTAATTACAAATAAAAAGTGTTGTGATTGAACGGAAACATGCTACGCATATGTACAGGTGTACACAGACCTTTTATAGAAATTGGCCAAAGAAGACCCCTGCGGGAAGCAACTAAAACAACCAGAAGCTGGAAAGTTCGTAGTGAAATTTATACGTAAGCTCATGTATCCATCTTGTTTTCAGTTATGTTTTCACAACTTAATTTCAAATTGGTGGTACTTAATCTTACACATAGTTTTTGTGGCTCGTTTGGCACTTAGATGAAAGTTTTGTGCGGCATTTTTGTTTCAAAGTCAAGGCCATACTCTGTGTATGTACAGCATATGTACAGCATATGTGCAGGCACTGTATGGCTAAAAGTGGACACTAAATTTAATACAGTGGTCTGTTTACCATGTTGAAACATGTCGAAAGTCAGGGAAAAATTACTTATGGCTTACAAAAAGTGAAAATTGGACCAACAAGTGATATACACCCCTTCTTGTGCAAGGGCCTTCAACAAATTTTTGTTAAAGTCAAAAAACCACTTAATTGTGGACCCTTCACATATAAGCCGTTCATCAGAACGGTACACAGAACTCACGGATTCTTCTTCATTTGCGCCTACCAAGAAATAAATTATTCTTCATTTTCCTGTTTATGATACCCACAATAACTCACTAAGAGGACCTATAACTCACAATTAACTCTAGAAAACTCTCTCTGGAAACTCGACATTTTTGTCGCGTCCGGTTGTCTGATTTTGCTCGCACGTGTTTCTCTATACCCAGGTATGAAACTGTCATTTATGGCAAACACTCTATTACATTTCTAGGGCCCAGGCTATGGACAAAATTACCCAAGAGTATAAGGGAGGTCGAGACCCTCAAGTCGTTCAAAGGCAAGATACGCTAACTCAGTATAAGTGAGCTCTTGGATGATGGCTGCACACGCTGTAGCCTCTGCTCCTCTTGAATTTTATATATTTTTATTACAAATCCCGTAACTAGTTAACTATAGATTTTCTCTTAGTTTTAATATATATACCACTGTAAATAGCTCCTAGTCTTTTTTATTTTTTAGTGTCCCCAAATTAGTAAGGGATTTTTCCCTACCTAGACGGCTCTTGACACTTTTAATAAAGTCTTACTAGTACTACTATTACCTCATTCGCTATTACTCGCAAGCGTCACAAATTAAGAGGGGTGGGGGTAGGTAAAAACTCTTGTACACATATGGACACTCACCGTGACCATGTCTCCTTCTTCAAGGGCCATCTCATCAGGATTTCTGGGTTCAAATTCGTACAGAACTTTGTAGTATTCCTTCTTTGAAATTGGTTTAGAAATTGGTTTAAAGAGATCTGTAATTAAAAAGAATTAAGGTCAAAAAGAGCTCAGCACTATCGATCGGTAAAAAGAATGGAACCATATCCATTCCATCACTGTCAAATCTTAGATAACTTACTTGAAGGGGCTGGTCTCACTTCTGCTGATTGTTCCTTTATTATTTGTTGCATCTGAAGGACCTTCTGCTTAACATCACCAGCTGATGTTTTTCTAGTGCTGCTGGTACTACTGGTGGTTGACTCACTACTGATGTGCCTAATCACTGGGGGTGCACTTGACACTAACATCTGTTGTTGTTGGACTAGTATCTGGTCTTTCGTGATAAGCTGCTGTTTTTTTAACTCCTCTTGGCGTCTAGCTTCTTCAGCCTGTCTTGCTTCATTGAGGCGTCGGCGCATCTCTTGTTCCTTCCTCTGTTTTTCCTGTTCTTGTCTCATGGCTAAAAGTTGACACAAAACACATGAAATGACAGTGCTGAAATGCATACAGGTTATGCAATGAAGAGTGACTTGCTTCTAATCTCTTCTTGCTGTATCACCATTAAATCAAATGTAAAGGTCATGAGAATAAAAGAAATGATCACTTATTCAAGAAGCTCGTGCTTGCAAAAAGAAAAAACTCCCCTTGTCACAGGATTTGTACCCTTTTTTAACAACAAATTTCCAGGACTTTCCAGGTTTTCCAGGACCCATATAAACCCTGTTGTCTGTACCATATAGTAAATGTATAGAGAACAGTGTTAAGGATATGAAAAAGGCGGACTGTTTCCTTCCGATATAAATCCTTTAACTCCCAAAAGTGATTAACATGTAACTTCTCCCTATAATATCCACACATCAACCAGTAAGCAGGTAATGAGAATACTCAAACTTATCAGATAGACATTGTTATTTTGATCTAACATCAAACCCTTAGAACTTATTCTCAGGGAAAATTAATGCGTAGCAGCTAGAGTGGAGAGTTAACAATCAGGGCTCGGTTGTTCAAAAAGTGGATAACACTAGCTATCCAACGGATAAATCGCTATCCAGCGGATAAGTGTTAACAAAACATACTGCGCTATCCACTGGATACAGAGAGAGATATCCAGTGGATAGTGTTATCCATCCTTCAAACAACCCGGGCCAGATCTCTGGAGTTTAAGGGTTAAAATAAAAAAGAGAGGACTACCTGTAACAGCAAACAAACGAGTCATTTCCAGGAGACACGTAAAGAAAGTGCTAGCACTGCAAGTTACTCACCCTCTAGCTCTCTTTCACTCTGTTTCCGTGCCTCCTCTTCTTCCCGTTTCCGTTTCAATTCCATTTCTTTCCGCTGTCTATCTTCTTCATCTTTACGTTGTTTCCAAGTGGTGTATTCTCTTTGTTTAGCTTCTGATATGTTTTGCAGCCTGGCATTTTGTCCAGACAATTGCTGTGTACTTGTGTTTAGATCCTGAAAAATGATTGTTTGTCTATGAGAAGGTAGGCAGGTTACCGATTACAAGTACAAGCTAAACACTCGCACACAGTAACGCACCTTCCAGTGACGTGAGAATTCTGTGGTCCAAGTTTACATTTTTAAGCACAATTGCACAATTACTGTGAGCAGGTGCCATGTTTGCACCTTCTAAAATATTGCATTTATTTCAGAGCATGATGTAGGTAAGTCTGACTCATGATCAATAAAAGAGTAGAAGGTACAGTATGATGCATCTTATACCTTTAGCCTCAAATCAAAGAGAGACTAGCATCTTACTTTTCATCTTGCTTTACAGTACCTTAAGCTGTGTATTAACAGTGTCGAGTTCCTTGAATTTCTCAGAAAGAACCCTCTCCATGTTGTTCTGTAATGTTTGCAGTCTTCTCAAGTTTCCCCCTGAGTCTTGTACACTGGCCATTACATTACCATGAGTGTCTCCTAAAAGTTTTTAAATTCAAATTTGAATAATTGCATTTTATTTACTGACTGTACCTTCAAGGAAGCAAGCCATGAAGTGAAGTAAGGAAATGTTACAAGGTTCAAGGGTTATACATTCACACCATGAACCAGAGAGAGCTCAAAGCTTATATATCTAAACTGTTTCAAGCACCCACTTTACATCTCATTGGTTGAAACATTTCTGCAAATTCTGAGACCAAACTGAAACATATAAAGCATAAAATATTGCTGTATACAACATTATGTAAGTTTCACTTCTTCTTTTCTCTTGTGACACACCAGACTTACCTAATTTGTTAGAATCTATTGAGTTGATTTCCTGTGAGAGTCGTTCACTCTCCTTCTTCATAACAACTATCCTTTGCTGGGAGTCCTACATTGTATGAGCAAAAAATTTAATATTGTGTTGGAATGGTCAATAGTAACATGTCCACAACAACTTCTTCTTCCACAAAATAACATAAATAAGGAAAGCTAAGCTTACAAGCAAATGTCCTCTTTAAATCTTATTACAACAATGTAAGAAAATATGTCATCACACAAAAATGGGAGCAAATGTATGGAACAAGCTTCCTCATAAGCTTCAAGAAATGTATCAAGCACTCTTTAGCACGAACATGGTCTGTTCCTTCAGAGCAACTAGGTGAAATTTGGATTTACATTGCTCAGCAAACTGCCCAGAAAGAAGTTGTGTAATCAACAAAAGTAGCACACTTAAAAGCATAGGCTAAATCCACAGGTCCAACTGTCAGATAAACTGTCTTGCTGTGAAAATATACATTGTACAGACTGATGTTCTTGTATAGAAAAAAGTTCTACACACAGCTACCTTAACAGAAAGGGCAAAAAGACCTCAGAATAGCATTTAGACATACCTTGATATCACACTGAACCCTGCTAATCTCTGCTAGTTTCATTTCTTGGCTCTGATTTATAAGATTAAGGGCTGACTGACACTGCATACATGTTTGCCTTTCTTTCTCTAAGGTCTCTTGTGCTTCATTTTTGGCCTGGTTCTGTGCAAACAGAATAAAAATTGATGAATGGTTATTACCTTGCAGTATTCAACTACACTGAAGTGAATACACCCTGTCCTCTATGATCACCTTCGTAAACCTATACAGGAAAGAGCCACGCCTACAGAAAATATCCTCACTTGTTTCTAAAAGATAGGGAAGCACACATACTTACCACTTTAAGCAATTCTTCTTTGAGTTTCTGGACCCGTGATTTTAGATTATTGACAATATCTTGTTCCATATTTTTTTGATTTAATAGTTCTTCTTTTTTTCTCTTTTCCCATTCTAATTGACGTTGTCTCTCTGCTTCAATTTGGGCAGCCTATAAGAAAAAAAAGTATTATATGAAAAGCTAAGTGACACCTACACTTTGAGGTGCAGTCAAGTGTGTCACTAATGTTGTTACCAAATTTTGACACAATCTGTGATCTATTAACGTACAGATGCACAGCAACATGAAATCTTATTGTAAATGTAATCTGCAAAGACACATAATGCACCTGCACACACACACATGTACACACACACACACACACATGTACACACACACATGTACACACACATGTACACACACACACACACATGTACACACACACATGTACACACACACATGTACACACACACATGTACACACACACACACATGTACACACACACACATGTACACACACACACACACACACATGTACATACACATACTTGATGATCAAAGAAGTCATTAGCCACAGTGTAGGATTTAACAACTACTGGCATTTAAATAATATATAGATTCAATACCAAACTCACCACACTTAAATTCAATGAAGTACACTGAACATGTATAAAGAATGTACAGGTTAATCGTAATGAGACTTAAAAGATTCAGCAATGGGTTTTTTCCAAAGGACAGCCTTCATAAATTCCAAGATCAACACTTAGGTTTCTGAGTGGTGCATGGACAGTTTAATCATCAGGCTGAATTCTCCATTTCAAAAACAAGTGGGGCAGTGGGTCGAGTTTGCTGTGCAAGTTTGACTGAGGTCGTTACTTGGGACACAAATCTTTGTTTAATATAGATTTGTGTCCTGAGTGACGATCCCAGACAAACTTGCGCGGCGAACTCGATCCACTCCCCCACTCGATTTTGAAATGGAGAATTCTTTCATTCCCTAGATCTTACTAGTAATTCTCTTCACTATATGGGCCATACAATTCTCATGATGTTTGTTTGGAGAGTTAGGTATTAGATCAACCAATAGTCCCTTAATTCACATTTTTCTTCATTCTCACCACTTGATATAGTTTTGATGCTATAAGGAAAATGTCTGTCGTGGTCAATCATGGTACAGCAGTTAATGAGTTAAATGACAGATCACATCTCATGTCTTGGATTGATCAGTGTATAACATGTGCTTCATCCAAAGCTACATTACAGACCTATCCATTCCAATTGCATCACACTTGCCACCTACCCATCATGTCCTCACCAATTTTTTTCAAACTCAGGGTCATTCATGCCAGAATTTTAGCATTGCAACATATAAGCGGCATGTGCATGCATTAACCAATACCCTTACAATGTAGCTAACTTTACTACAAAGGATAATTGCACATTAACATGCTTGAATCTTACAAGTCTCTGTTGAATCATTTTCTTCCTCAATGCTTCTTGCTCTCTCTCCATCTCTAGCTGTTGCTGTCGCTGTTTCTCCAGCTCTGCTTGTCTCTTCTGCTCAGCTTCAAGTTTTGCTCTTTGTCTCCTTTCCTCCTCCAGCGCCTCTTTCCTCTCTCTCTCATCTCTTTCTTTTTTCATTTTTTCTTGCAATTCCATGCGTCTCCTTTCAAGTTCCAGGCGGCCCTTTTCAAAGTTATCTTTCCTCTTGTCTTCAAAAGTAACTAAACAAAAAGGAAATTAAATCAATCACCTAGTGACAACCCATACTGTCTGCAACTCCCTGTGAGTTGAGTATATAACCAAAATTTAATTTTCTTATGTTCAATGCAGGTTTTAAAACAATTCCTTTGTTTGATGACCTTCATGGGAGAATATATTACAAAAGGTTGTAAAACTTGAGCTTGAGGATAAATAAAAAAAATTGAGTACCCCACAGGGCTATGCACTTACATATACATGTACATGCAAGACCTACAGTGTAAACATTTTTAAAGGATATGAAAACAGCTGTTCAGACTTACAAACTCCCTTAGCATTTGAGGTACTTCCAGATCGTGCCCTTCCATCTATGCTTCCACTTCTCTCTCTTTCACTCCCACTTCTCTCTCGTCCACTGTCAGACCGTTCACGACTGTCTGCTACTGGTGAAAATGTAGTGCTTGTTTGCCGTGACTGGAATGAAGGTGGAAGAAGCTCTGGGGGAACAGTAGGGGGCAAGGCCTGACCATGCTTTGCCAGCTCGACAAAGTGCATTGCCAATGCAAATTCTTCAATATTAAGCTGTCCATCTTTGTCTACATCTGAGAGACTCCTAAATTGTACATAAAAAAAATTGGGTAAATTACACTGTACGTGTTGTAAGTCCAAATGTTTTCCAAAGAAAAATGAAGAAGAACAGCATTAACTGAGAACAAGAAGCAATGCATGATAAAAGGGAGAAATAATTTAAATTTTGGATTTTCAACCAGTATCCAACTCTCCAGATTGTTTTGAATTACCTCTGGTAATAGAGCTCCTCCTAGTTATTGACAGATTAAACAAGACAGACATATTGTTTAAATCCAAAAGTGAAGACTTACCATATTTGAGCAAGAATTCCCTGCGAAAGCCCTGACTGAATTAACATACTTCGAGCTTGTTCCCCTAAAAAACCAGACAACAAAGTGCCACAAGCATACATGTATATATACATTGTACTTAATAGGCCTTTTGCAGTTAGAGATCATGTGCTTAGATACCGCATAGAAACGCCATACTGGAGAGCAAGTACTCCAGTGATCTCAGACAAAATAGAGATCACAGAGGTCTGCATTCAAACAAAGAATACAGCGGATAACAAGTTAAAAGGTATCCCAATTCAAGAAATCTTGTAAGTTTTAATCAACAGCTTCCTTGGAGTGTACCAGTGAAAAACGAATTTTGGTGTGATTTTGTTGCCGATACACTCCGGGGAAGCTGTTGATTACTTCTTACTGGATTTCTCGAATTGGGATAGCTTTTGATCTGTTATCCGCTGTATTCTTTGTTTTAATGCAGACTTATGTGACCTCTATACTGTCTGAGATCACTGGAGTGCTTGCTCTCCAGTATGGCGTTGCTATGCGGTATCTAAGCACGTGATCTCTAGCCGCAAAAGGCCTATTATGTTAGGCTGAGTCAATTTGACTTCGAAAGGGCTCAATACTGATGGTGGCCAACTAGCCACAAACTAGCAGAAATTCAGTTTTGGCTAGTAGTTTTCAATTTCTGCTGGCCAGTTTGGCTAGTAAACAAACTGAAATTGTTGTAACATCTAAGATGACACTAGCAACTTGGCTAGTAAGATGAACAATTAGTGTCGAGCCCTGTTCGAGAAGCAGTTGTTTCATTGATGCTCGTTACCTTAGTAGGGATATTTTGACTTATAATCTAACAAATATTTTTGCTCAAAGCCCACAATTTTCCTTGAACTTTGCTCACCTGATAAAAAGCCTGTCTTCTGATAATTATTTGCTTTAAACATCTGATTATATTTTAGTCTATTGTTTGGTGATATAGTTCCATACGTTCCTGTTGCAACTTGACTAAAACTTCCAGTCAGTGAGTTAGCTCTGCGGACATTAGGAATTCCTGGCCCAAAACCACTCTGACTTTGACCTCCAGGCCCATTTATTATTGCTGCACTAGGAGCAGCAGTGTTTAAACTACTGCTCATTCCAACATTAAATGATGATGACAATGACGCTGCAGGTACGCCTGCTGACATCTGTGGTCCAAAAGAAGAACCAAATACAGAAGATGATCCAGAAACCGCAGCTCTTGTTTGTGGTGGTGATTGGTTTATTCCTGACCATGAAATGCCTGAAGTTTGTTTGTGTGGCAGGGTCATTATACCCACTTTTGAGAAGCCATTTGATATTGGTTGGTTAGGAGACTGACCCCAATCAGTAGAAGGTTTTGTTTTCTGTTGCCCCACCTGAAAAGTGCTAGGCATTGAGGTCATTTTTAAACTGTTAGGGAGAGATGTGGGCAATTCCACTCCTTTTAACTTGTTTTGTATTAAATGAACAGCAATTGTGAATTCTTGCATGGTCATCTTGCCATCCCGGTCCATGTCTGCAAGATTCCTAGAGTGACAGTTAAAAGGATCTCAGTTTTACCTCTGATATATTGTTATATCAATATTGTTCTATTATACACAAAGGTTTAAAATAACAATTACAAGTAGATCTTTAGAATGAATAAATATCATTTTCTATACACCACCCTACATATACACATTTCAACAAATTGTGTATGCATCAATGCAAGTAAATGACTGATTTCAAGGTTCTGTTAGTTTACACCCCCCTTCCTAATTTGAAGGCATTGCAATTAATGAGTGTGGGTTTTTATTTAAAGAAAAACAATATTTTCAATCATACATAATTATTGTAGACTTTGTAAATTGGATTTAAGTATACAGGTTTGTAACTTAGAAATTTGGCAGCCAGCTAAAATTCCAAATGACAAGGCTCAAAGATAACAACACTTGTAGGTGTGTGATATCAAAAAAGCCCATCATGTTTTGCTGATCAACCACCAGCCAAAAACCTACTAACCAATGATGAAAGGTTTTTCCTCCTGTGAATTTTGGCCGTAGCCAAAGCTTAGTGACAACCCTTTGTATGGAGGCTTATCAAGAAGGAACTAAGTTTAGTTTGAGGCTTAATTTAACAATAAAACAAAAATTACCCATTACATAAAATTATGGTACACTCAAAGATAAATTGAATTCAGGTATGATAGTCAGTCACACTAGAACTCTTCAATGCATTTTCTCCATGCAGCACATATTGTATCTTCATGAGTTTGAACATATCTTACCATATTTGACCTAACACCATTGGTGAAAGATTAGACTTCAGGAAATACTTCTTGGCTTGTTCTCCTGGAGGAAATACATATTAGCACCATTTATGATCCTCTAAAATTAGCCAAAGCCTTTAATTGTCATCAGAAACAAAAACTAAATGATAACCCTGAAAACAAATTTCACTTTATACAGCTGTATATATGAATAGTATTAGATTCCCTTTCCACCTGTATCTGATTAAGGCCCCTTCTGATGTAAATTTTTATGTGAATGACTTTAATTTTCCTTTGGAAATTTTTGGTTTGATACATAAAATTACCATTGCGTTTCTCAGGATGCAATCGTTTAAAGGAGTGCTACAAAGAATCTTTCAAATTAATCTCTGCGTTAAGGATTCACGTACAGATCTACGGGTCGGATCAAGGAGATTATATAGTCTCAAGTTCAATAAATTTCATTGTTTTGATGGGAACAATTGGATTATCAAGAGGCTGATAAAACTTGAATACAAATGAACACGTTACAACAAGAATGTGCAAATCTGGTGGCAAAGATCAGAAGTATGCTTAATTATAATTGTGACCAATATAATGGAATTCATCAAACCTGTCAGAAAACCACTCGCTGGATTCAAACTTTGAAAGGTCGCTTCGTGTTTAGTCCGATCTTCAGATGTTATCACCCACGAGGCTAAAAGAGAAAGAGGGGAGAATCTTGGCAATTCTACCCTGCTAAGTAAGTACAAAAAAAAAAAAAAAAGAATCTATATATGATGTATATGTTATTATTCAGACAAGTGAGCCCACCTGGTAAAGAAGGGCCAATTCCGCCTGGAGATGCCATCTGTGACATTGTTGAATTCACTCCTTCGCCATATCAGAAATGCCTTTGTCTGAACTGATACACAAATAATATAACAAACAAAATAGAGCGCTGAAATTTCAGTTTTTTATCCCGAGAATAAAATCCTCATTTCACCGCGTCAGACTTCTTCATTCAAACTCGAGCGAATCAACAATCTCATCGACAACACAGCAATATTATTTCAAAGTGACGGTAGACGGTGAAGACCATTCGATGAAGCACAACACAACAGCGACTCCTCTGACAGGAAGATTCACAGGTGAGCTGAGGAATTAATCTCTGAGGACTCTTGGAAAACTAAAAGTGTTAATACACAGTACGCTAGTTAACTGTGATCTATGACTACAATGATAAAACGAGCTCATGCCCATCTGGCATTCGAGCTAAACAACACATGCAAAAGCGCAAGCGCAATGCTGTAAAAGCATAGCATTGTGGGAAAATTGTAGATAGCGAAGAGACCGGGGTTAGAAATAGTAATCCAAGATGGCTTCCTTGTGACCACTATTGAAGGATTTTAATGGGTTTTTCATGTTTACATGTGGTTGATTCGCTCCAGATTTCATAATGGGAGGAAAAGATAAACAAAGAACTAAAGGAAACGCGAAGGTACAACCACATTGTATAGCGATGTGATTCTTCCGCGTGCTATTGTTCTTTAAAGAAATTCAATATTTCCCTGTGTTAGTCCCTTTCGTAACATGTTTAGAACATGGAATTTTGAAAACAGCTGTTACATTCAATGTTAGTGTTTTTGTGTCACACTAGTTCGGAAACATCGCTCTGACGAAGGGCTACGCCCGAAACGTCAACTTCAGAGATTCTTTACGGTGGCTGATTTACATTAACCCCCAACAACGCAGTACCACAGTTTCTTTACTACTAGAGAAACTTTTCCTCTCTATTCATTGGTTGATCGGTAAATTAAAGCTTGTCGAGATACATTTAATATAGTAACAGGTATGGAGTGTCGCAAGACTCTGAATGTATAAAATATTATTTTTACCTCATTATCATACTTTACCAGCCATCCAGCAGTGGTCGTGCAGCAGCTTTGATCTCGAAAGATGGAACTGTGGGTTTTGTTGGGTTTGGAGGACTGCAGGGTAGTCCAGGTGCAAGTAACCTTGGTTATGTTCCAATGAGTGCTGGTGTAAGCGAGGATGTTGATGCATCTGTCGATGGAGAATTTAGGATGGTGATGAGAAAATTGATGAAACGAGACTCAGTTACAAAACTGAAGGTGAAATTATATTATTTCTTGATTCTTTCCTCTTGATTCAATATGCACATGTGGATATTCCATATTATTCTTATTTTTAACATACATTGTTCATATTAATGTACATGTAATTAGTTTTTATAAATTTGAATTTACTGTAGTATTCTAAGTTGTTAAGCTCTGTTGATCATTGAATGAAAATGGCACTCTAGAACTTATTGAATTAAATTAAATTAAATTAAAGTCTTGATAAAGAATATCTAACTAACAGTGTGTTATCAACTCAAACGAAGGGTTGGGTGGGAACTGGGGCTCAAAAATACACATCAGCAATGACGGACAGCAAAACAGCAACTGATAAAATACACTGAGCACGAGACTCAAAAACAAACCCTCGGGCCCAGGCCCCAGGGTGTGTGAGAAAACATTTTCCACTTATTTTGTTCCTCAGCCAGTGGAAAATACAACTTCTCACACACCCCTGGGAGCCATAGTCCAGCTGACTGCCGCAAATAACAAAGCATAGAGAGCCCAGCAATACAAAGTCACAAAAACAACCACCCAATGTTAGTCTGTGATACTATGGAAAATAAAAACGTCCACAGAAGTTCTTAACAACCCATATTGTCCATGCAACAAACAAGTCCAGATTCTTAAATCCTTAGTAAATGTTTAAATCCTTAATCCAATATCTATGAAGATCTCCCACATTACGAGCCCACTTGACACAGTCTTCAATCTGAGCTCTGAATCTTCCTGGTAACTAACAACAAAGGGTCCAATGACTCCTGGATATAATTGTTTTTTGCCTGAGTGCTTCTCCATCCTCCCTGTCTCTGGAACAGGTGATCTGGAATCTCGAGTGCTGCCGCAGATGAAGCACCCCCTGACCAGAGGCTGTGATGACTGTACAAGCTTGGGTCCAACCCCTCACTCTTCAACTCTTTCTTTACCAACTCGCTCACACGAGAATACGACATAGGTGCTTCTTTAAGCATCTGGCCTCTCCTTGTGCTCTGGATCCTACGAAACAGCTGTGACCCCTTAGAATGATTTCCCATCTTGAGAAACCTTTTTAACAGTGCCACAGGGCAAGGGGCTACCTCACTTCTTGCAATAAAGACCCAAGATCCTTCCCGGAATTGGTCATTCTTACATTGGAGCAAAAAGAGAGCAACATGTGAAATGTGAATCAGCAAATAAAAGATCGTCCACTGTCAGATTGCTTAAATCATCTCACCGTAAGATACCAAAAAACCCCATGGCAAATATCACTGCAACTTGCACATCTGCCAGACTGCTCTTCTCCAAATGAGACATGATGCACAAAACTTGGCCCACCGTAAGGGCTTTCTTGCATTCCAGTGGCGTAGCCAGGATTCTACGAGCAGTGTCTGCCACCTGGGTCACAAAAGGGTTCTCCATGACTTGTGATTGACCCACCTTCTTCTGTACCCAGCTCGCTCCGTACAAAGCAGAGTTAATGGTAGAAACTGACTTGTTTTCTTGGATCAACTTAACTAAATACAGGGAGAACACCACTGGCTCCACTGGTAGAACTGACACATGGCACTGCTCTGCCCAACTCTTCCATGCCCCAAACGCATGGAGATAACTGTTAACTGTCTTTGGAGCTTTATCTTGAAGCAGAACTGAAGGCAGCACCCTGGCCAGCTGATGCAGCACTGGATGTTGTAATCCAACCACAGGGCAGGGCTTGACATTATCGGCTGCCGCTTGCCTGGGGCAACTAAAAATTTCATCGGGGCAACTAAGTTTCAGATCCTAGTTGCCCAGTCGGGCAACTGAAAATTTTTGTGAAAGTTGAAGGTTATCATGAAAAACTCAAAAAACTTTATTCTAGCAATTAATCAATTAAAAGGAATGAGGTGCGGGATATCCTTTAAAAGAGCACTTTGAAATTCATGTGCGTTTCTCAGCTCGCTCTTGTTTTTCTTTCCTGTGTTAACCGAAGTGTGAAAAAGTTGTCTAGACAAAATCGTCAAGAGAAACTGTCACGTTTGTCGGAGAGGTCAGTTTGAAGGCGATTTACTGCTCTTGATTGAGACTTTGACCTAAGTCATCTCAGTCGGTACCGCAAAACAAATACAACAATGGTAGAGGCAATGAAAACTTTGAAAAAACTATCAAGCTGAAAAATACACATCAGCTATGGCTGACAGCAAAACAGCAACTGATAAAATACACTGAGCACGTGACTTGTAAACAAACCCTCGGGCCCAGGCCCCAGAGGTGTGTAATAAAACATTTTCCACTTATTTCATTCCTCAACCAGTGGAAAATACAACTTAGTTTTGTTAGTAGATAGCATAACAGGCAATGGCAATCATGCAGAAGGGAGAGCACTAACTTCCCACCACTATAGCCTGGCTTGCTTCCCTGAAAACAGTGGAGGAATCATTATTATCATTATTTATTTATTATTATTATTATTATTATCATCATCATTAATTCACTTGGTTTTCATCACAAGATTTATAAAGAAAAACAATGATGATAATATTTTTATATATAAATTATGTCATAGACCTTTCTTAGCAAGAATATGTACATAGGATTTTTATTTTAACGAAGTTTTATCTTATTATTATCATTATTATTATTATTATTGTTATCATTCTTTTCATTTTAATTGAGTCAAAGTGGTGAGCATTATCATAAGCAATAACATTGAACAAGTTCTCCAATGATAATTGAACTGTAAAAGTTAGTCTTGCAGTAAATGGTTTGAACCCGGGGGTAACATGTGAAGGTGTAGTCTGATTGTCCGGGTGAGTGTAGTCCTGAGAAGGACTGTTGTCGGTGGTAGCGACTGACGTTTCGACAACCTGTGCGGAAGTCATCATCAGAGTCAAGTGAATGATTGTTGTCAGTAGACAACAATCATTCACTTGTATCATCATTCTCCCTGTATTTGAATTTATTTTAAAGTAGACAGCAATTGTTCACTTGTAAAATCATTCTCCCTGTATTTGAATTTATTTGAAATAAATAATGTTGTCTACTGACAACAATCATTCACTTGACTCTGATGATGACTTCCGCACAGGTTTTCGAAACGTTAGTCACTACCACCGACAACAGTCCTTCTCAGGACTACACTCACCCGGACGATCAGACTACACCTTCACAAAAAGTTAGTCTGTGAGCTTCAATGCCATTCACATTACTGTTAAAGCTACTGCAGAGTTTAGGGGATCAGGTTCCTTCTGTCTCTATTTGTAACTGATTACTAAATAATTATTTTCTATCTTAGGCTGTACAAGAATTCACTGAGTTATGCAAGAATTTGACTGTTGAGGCTGTGGAAAGTGCTTTGCCATTCTGGCCAAGACTGTTTAACAAATTGGCTTTGGTAAGTTCTTAAATGGAACAATGAAATTGAAATGGAAGGATGGATGGTGATAACAAGTGAGAGTGCTTTCCACTGATCAACTGGGCCCTGATTTAATTTCTGATCATAACCTTGTGTTACACATACATGTATATAGCTTGAGTTTGTTGTTTCTGTTACACATGCATCTTCAATTCCCTTGCTATTTTTCTTAAGTTTCTACGATTTTTCCTCTCTCCACAAAAACCAACACTCAACTTGGAAGCAGTGAAAAAAAGCCACCCTATGGATAGGTCATGCTTAATTATTTTTTCAATCAGGATGTTGATCATAAAGTGCGAGAAGCAACTCAACAAGCCATGGAGCAACTGGTTCTCAGAGTTGGTCGTAACCTTGCTCCTCATTTGCGTTATATTATTGGTCCTTGGCTGTGTACACAGTTTGATACCTATGCAGTCGTTGCATCATCGGCAAGGAAGTCATTCCATGCAGCATTCTCAGAGGAAAAACAAACTGATGTCATCATGTTTTGTAGAAAGGAGTTATTTGAGGTATACACGTACTTACCAGTTGTATACCATAGATACAATGTACAGTGTTTAAAACCCTCTGACTCCCATGATTGATCAAGAAATAATTTCTCCCTACAATATCAATTCAATATTAAGCAGGCAAGAGAGGAGAATTAAAAAAAATACCAACTAGGGGACTATTACTTGATCCAATATGAAATTCTCTGAACCGACATAAGAAGTTTTGTATAGCAGACAGTAAGGAGAATTGCCAATTAAAATTAATTTGATCTTGGGAGTGAAGGGTTAAAAATTATGTGCATCCACAGTGTCAGTTTGAATTCACTCAATATTTTGTGTTTTTCTTGCATGTATTGAGTAACTTGACAATTGCAGCATTCAATAGGACTTAAAAGGACAGTATTTTCCTCTCGATTGAAATTCGTTTTTCTGTCCAAGGCCTTTTGTTTGATTAGTTTCTGTCATTTGCAGATTCCCACCCTGTCATTGTTCAGTTCTGCAATCAATAATTTTGTTTAATATTTGTATCACAAAAACCTCTTTTCATCGATCCTTTTGCCCCTCTACTCGTCTTTTTATCCATTCATTTAAATAACTGTTCCTTTAAGTATTTAGTAGGTCGTTCATTCATAATTCAAATTACTGTCAGAAGTTTGTTGTACATGACTTTGTATGCTAATTTAAAATTTTTTGACCATACAGTTCTTTCAAGACAATATATTAACTCAGACTTCTTCCACCCTCTCTGACCCAAAGTAAGTGAATGCTTTTGAAATTAGCATGTGATATGGGGTACCTTTCAAACACACTGCAGTTTGCAATGCAATAATTTATGGAATGAAGAGGGATCTGCTTGTTTGTAGTATGTTAACTTTTAGTTCAAGTTATGGCATGTGGTGTTTTCCTCTTGAAACTTACCTAGTATCTAGATTTCAATATAGAAATATGTCATCCATCTGCTCATGAGCATAGAACAAAGGGAAAAATTTGAGTTCCCCTTGAGAAATGAAACCCAGATTTCAAACTCCAGTTTTTGACTAATGAGCGCAAGGACTGGGGTTCAATTCCCTGTGAGGAGACTAAGATTCTTTTTTGTCTTGCGCTCATTACATTAGACAAATAGTAACCTTTCTGACTTTGTTATTGAGCTCAATATTTGTCTAATTTTTTTTATTCTGCAAATTTATTCATGCATTGCCTTTCACTTTGTTGATCCTTGCTGTGTGCAGGATGTGTGATGTCATATGCATTGTTTGAACCTAGTTTTGACCTGTCTCACCTTAGATTTCCTTGAAGCCCATTGTATGAGTATGGGAACATGTAATCCACAGTTCAATAATTAAATTCCAGGGGAAAGACTGTTCCATACTAGTGACAGGAGCAATTATATAATTATGTTTTTTAATTATCATGAAGATCAAGCTTAAAACTTAAAGCTTATTCTATTCTGTGTTCATGTAGATTTGTTTCTGAAGAAGAAAGAGAGGCAAAATATAACAGAGTGCTCTCATCCTCCATCTTGGGGCTTGGACATCTGATGAATGTTACATCACAGAGGGACACTACAGATATGGTGGACCTTTATCTTAATGTTCTGCGGCAAAACAAGTTTTGGAAGTATGCCAGGCACAAGTCCCCACATGTATGTGTTTGCTAAAAGTATAAAATCAGTTTGTATTTTGTGGAATATCTGCCTTATATGTGCTGTAATTAGTAAGTACACATATTTGGTTATTGTTTGGAAGGATTTCAAGTAAGCTATGATGTGGTTTTTGTTAGATAAAATGTTGCTACACTGAAGTTACAACTGCATTTTTGGGAAAGATTTATCTCAGCCATTTTAATCATAATTCACTTATAGTTTTCATAGTTATAATGTTCAAATATAGGTAGTGCATATCACTAGATAATAGATCAAAAAAGGCAACTACTACAAAATTCAGACAGGATCAACTCCAACTCACACAGATCACCCTGGATTGAAACAAATTCCCAAAATCCCACTCTGATCTCCCTGGATTCTGGCTGAATTCTTGAAAAGATTTTTTTTTTAATCGTGCTTCACCTCAAAATTCAACCAATGCAAAGTCAAATTCATTTTTATCTGCTCTGTGATCCATAGTCAAGCCACCATGTTGTTGTTGTTGTTGTTTTTTTTTTTAACTTGTGCCAGGTCTCTTTATGACCATGCAGGTTCCCAGGTGATCTGAATAAGTCCATGCATATGTTAACCTGTATCTGGACTGACAATCCGAGTTAATCTTTTCTACCTGCCTGTTGATTAAAAGTACTTTTAGTTACAAAGGACACATTATGTGTGTATACCCTTAGGTCCGAGCTGCTGTATTTTCCACTGTCAGCATTGCCTGTGAGGTGCACCCTTCTATGATGATATCCATCAGCTCCCAGGTCTCTCCAGCTGTTTTATCGGCACTGGATGATTCTGATCCTGTAGTCTGTCAACAACTGTGGAATGCTGTTTTATCTTTGCTCACGAATATCACAGTAAGCAACTGCAACTTGCATTTCTAACTTGGTAAAAATTCAATAACATACAATTTATAGTACTTTCTTACAAAATATCCATTTTGTGACAGCCAGTTAATAATAAATTACATTTTTTAAATTTTTTATTAAAAAGGACTGCTGGATCCAAGTGAAAGCCCGCAAAGCTGTTTTGCCTAAGCTCTGGTCTGTCTTGAAAAATGGTGGCAATGGTTGTGCTACCATGATCTTTCCTAATTTACTTCCATTCTTGAGCAAACTACCTTCAGAGGTTTGTGTTTATACTATTTATATAACATATTTTTGTATTTATATCATAAAATAATATTGTAAAGTCCTGTTTTTTCTCTATTTCTTAAAAAAAAAAAAAAAAAAAAAAAAAAAAAAAAAAAAAAAAAAAAAAAAAAACCAGATCTGTCACTTCCCAGTACAGGTCATGAGTCATTACTGGGTGTTTTAATATCTCTCATTTTTCATCTTCCTGCATTCCAAAAATAACAAATTTTCCCTCTCCTTGTGTGAAATGGTTGGAGTTCAAGTGGAGGCCTGACTGAAAGTGGGCAAGACACTTAACTGAAGATTAGTCAGACAACAATAATTATCACTAAATAGTCACAGAATCCTCTTGGTGTGCTGATGGTTAACCTGTTATGGATGCCAGCATCCAATTTATTGGCCACCTGTATGTAGCTTGTATAGATGACTTGCATTGTAACTCTTTTAGCCTATGATTTGGCCCTTATTATTTAATTAGCACTGCAAGACACTCATTTCTCCACCCATGGGAAGATTAGAGACAAGTCTGGTACAGGATTGCTGCGGGCGGGGGTCTGGCACTGTATCAGTGCTAGACCACTTGCAGACTTCTCACTGGCTGGTGCTGCTCACTAGGCCTTATATTTTCCTGAGGGAAAAGAGATGCTATTTAACTTTCTGATATGGGTTATTGACCTTCTCAGGCCTGAATAATATTGTTCTTTTCAGGTTATTGGTAGTGGAGTGGGCTTCTATCGGGAATTCTTTACAAATATTCAAGAAGGCCTGACAAAAGAGCGTGTGCAAAATAGCCCCAGTGAGTGTTCAGCAATAATTGCAGCATTCATGGAGTGTCTGAAATTTTGTCTTTTACATGAATTTGAAGATGGATCAAACTTGGACATCCATCAATATTTGATCAAAGAGCAGGTACATAAAATTAGAAGGTCATCTGAATTGAAAGTAGATCTATATGTACATCCAACCAAAAGCATGGATCAAGACAAGAGAGATCAGGAGTTCAATAGCATTTTCCTATAGAGGCTAACAATGGTGTAATAGGGGCCTGTGCTGCTAAGCAAAACCCAGACTTAAATGTAGACAAGCTACACTGTGGAGGGAAACAACCTACCGAGAAAAATGTTCGGGGGGAAACAATTGTTTCATTCTAGAGAAGGGACAACACTCCTAATTACTTCATTTTCAGTAAGTGGGATAAAATTTGGCGGCAGCAAGACTCTGAATTACACTTCACATCTTTTAACTAAGCATTTAACTCCCAGGAGTGACAAGGACAATGTTCCCTAACAATATCAATACACATCAAACAGGAATATAGAATATGAAAATATAGAATATAGAAAAAAATAATATAAATTAGGGGATTATCAGTTGATCCAATACCAAATACTCCAAACCAACATCATTAGAATTGTATGGCAAACAGGACAGCAAAGAAAATTACTAAATTTTTTTTTTTTATTTAATGATTCACCCGAAAGTGGGTGTAAATACAATAGGACTCTAAGTCCCCTCCAAGATATTTACACCCTTAATCCCAACCCCTAAATTAGATTTAAAATCCCAACCCAACCCATTAAGAAAAAAAACAAACATATAGTACATATTTTACAACTGACTGCGGAATTAACAAGAACAAACTGTAAAAGCATTAACTTTACGACATTTAGGACAAATCAACTTAAATGAAGAATGAAAGGGTTAACGTCAAAGTACATACGGCTGTATAAGCAATATACAGTAACTGTTGGATACTTGCAAACAAGTGTAATGGGTCACTCTCAGAAGAGATGTAGAAAAGGTTAGGTGATGCCATTTGCTGTTTTAGGTTTGCTTTTGAACGGGTTTGCAATGCAACATTCTCTTGTCTTAGTAAATTTCCTGATGGACTATGGATTGTTCCTTTGCTCTATTTCAGCTGTTGTCTTTGTTGAAAGAATCATTGGAAAAGCATTACAAACTGATGTATGACAGTCTTTATCCTCATGTGGCTGATCTGCTTTCATATCTGTCTGTCAAAGTGGAAAGTGATTCCAAAACAGGAAGGAACGAAGAGGAGGAGAAATCACTGCAAAAATTCTGCCACATGTTGAGATGGTTTTGGGAGGGTTTCAGTTCAATCTGCTTAGAAAATCTCAAGTCTGGCTCTGGAAAAGTGGTAAATACACTTTTCCTTATTTGTAAACAAAACCTGTGTTCAAAAACAGGTGAATGGATGGTTATCAGAGTATGGTTTAATGAAATGAAATTTGTTCATGAAATCATTGCTGGCATACAAACTATTGTGCATTATTTTGTAAAATTTGATTCTGATGCCTCTCTTCACCCTAAAATCGAGCTTTAAAGTTCCCGCTTCGGCCACATGTAATGAAGTTGACCGCGTTAGGGAAGATGGGTGATGAGTGACGTCACTCCAGGAGCATCTCGAGCATCGTGTTGTTACTTTGCTTGATAAACGCAGTACTTTTACAACACATCTATTGGGCATATTTATGTCGCCAAAAACTCTTTACCTTACTGAAAAAAAAAAGCAGTGAAATGAACCACTGGTGGGATATGGCACGTTCCTGACTTGACGTCACGACCTATTCTGAACCCAATCTCTTTTTTGCCCTGACTCACGGTCACCTTCAAAGGGCGTGGCCAAAGTGGGAAGTTTAAAGCTCGATTTCAGGGCGAAGACTCGTCAGAATCCAATTTTTATTTAAGAATACTTTTTTACATGATAAATACATACCAAAACTATAAAAACCCTGTTGGCCTTATAGACACTTAAATTAACCTTGTCTAGTTTTTTCCTTACATGGATGTCTAAAAAAAAATGGGATTGTAGAAGATAGGGTGGAGATACTTTACATGTGGCTGGTAGAGCAAGACACCTTTTGTTCTCAATGGTTATCCAGTTTTACAAATAAATTTGTTTTTGGTTGTTGTTCTTATGCAATACTTTTTTTATTTTTTTTTTTTTTGACAGGCAGTTGAAGACGTAGTTAATTCTGTGTGTCACTGTTTGGTCACTCTGAAATTTCCCACCAAGAAGAAGAAGAAGAAAAAACAGCACAGAGTGGCATTTATGGAACTATCATCATCTGAACAAGTTGATTCAGCTGAGACTGATCAATGTTCGTCAATTCAAAGTGATTTTATAGCAACATCTGTCAATGTGGAGAAACTCTACAAAGGCTGTCTTTTAGATTTGGTTTGCAACATCTGTACACTGTGTATGGACGAAATAGCTCAAAACAATTCAACAGTGCATTTGAAACTTCTTTCTTCCCTTATTCCCCACTTTACATCAACAAAACTTGTCAAATTTTTGCTTGAAAACTCCCAAGGACAACCTACAACTCTATTAACCTTTGAAAATGACAATTACTGCATTTTGTGTGAGAATTTCCTTCATCATACTTTGTTTCCTTGGATCAAGTCCTCCTTGCCTGGGAATGAAAATGACAGTTCTGTTTTCAAGGACAGCAGATCTGTTGACTACCTCATCAGTATTTTATGTGGCATCATAACAGCTTTACCACTTGTGAAGCAAGTGGAATTCGTGTCAGAATCCCTTCAGGTAGGTAAAGCTCCTTGTTCTACTCATTCTCAGTTTTGTAACACTCGAATAGATTCAATTTGAATTTTCAATTTAAAATGCCAGGGAAAATATGCCAACATTTGATGATGTTAGGTCTTTTCTGTACCTAACTGAATTTTAACAGTTTCTTTTACCCTTCTTGTTTTTTGCCTTTGGTCCAAGATACTCAATCTTTTCTTTGTCTTCTTCTCCCTTGTAACTTTCTAACAGGTTGTTATAATTGTTGTTGTTGATACTGTTGTTTTTTGTATATTTGTGATTATTGTCAGCTAATAGTGTCTTGTTTACCTCCAGCAAAACAACTCCATCTTTTTTCTGTACAAAATTCTCGAAAAGGTAAGCAGAGTAGTTCTGTGTTTGCTTACAAATTTTACATCGACACCAGTAAAATTTGATGTATTTCTAAAGCTTTCAGTTGATTATCCTGTTTTATTAACCCAAAGGGACTCCGCGCTGGGGTTCGTGGCGTTGAAAGTTGGCTCCAAAACAATGAAGGAAAAGAAAAACTTCTTGACCTGTCTAGTAGTTTGATTCCTCGAGATGGACGTGCGTCTTGTCTTTCTAAGGAAGAGCGAGTGGTTGTATGGCGTCTCCTTAAGTTGTGCGTTGTTACAAGTCGAAAGGGTTAGTTTTTTATGTCTTTAATAGCTAAGGAGCATCCTTTTATTCAGATTTTTGATGTTAAACTGATAAACTGTTTTATTTTGTTCGCGATTACAGTTGTCTTGCTGGGAAATGAACTAGTGGACCAAATTTGTCAACATTTTCTCAGGACTCTTAAACAGTCAAAACAGGAAAATGAGGCAGAATTGTTGATGTTGCTTGACATTTTACAGTTGTTTCTCACCAATTGCGAAAATAATGTAAGTATTTGTTGAATATTATTCGTTCAAATACAGCGAGAGAAATTATGTTCATGTTAAAGAAGACCTCAGAACACAACGTATATTACAATGAAAACTAGAAGAGAAACGATACCTTGTGAATGAGGTATAAAGGAAAGCCTGAGGATTGTAATTTAAACAAGTGTGCTAGCCAGCTGTCTTGATAAATTCTTGGTTTGCTTTTCAGCTGGATAAGATTGTGCCTTGTACAGAGGAGCTTCTCCTAGCTATCTTTCAGCGACAATTAGAAGACATGCCGTCTGCGGGTGAGTGACATCGTCTTGTAGTTCGAGGCCTCTGCATACGAGATTGTCCGGTTGAAGCATCTTAAAATATAGCTTTTACGTCTCCCCAA